AAGCGGATCAAGTATGGCGCGTGCCTAACGCAACGCGCGACAGCCAATAGGAGCGAAGATGAGAATATGCCGCGGCTATTGGTTGCTGCGCGTCCCGACAAGCTTTATGGGCAATTGGGGACCTATTGTTGCACTCTAATGATATTTTAACAACTTCCAAACGCTCTGAATGTTGCCTTAAGTCAAATGTTAACTCAATCAGTACTTTTTGGTTTACCCTTTAATACATAAATTTGCGAAGATACTTACGTTTGGTGGGACTGTCATGTTCGTTCGATAAATCAGAGGTGGCACGATTCTAAAATGAGAATTTTCGCGAAATTCTCAAGAATAATTTCATACAAAATGTGTGTACCTCGTCGTCATCAGCTTCAGACATCTTCCTAAGCGCTGCCCGTAGTGGAACAAGTTCCTGATCTTTTTGTTCAAGTGATGGCATTGGTAGAGGCCGATACAGTATGGCAAAAGCAGCACATGTATATACTAACGCTGCCAATATCCATACGGTGTATTTCCAGCCAATCGCTGAAAGATTCTAGTCAAATAAAGCAAGCAACTCACTGGAAGAGCAACAGCAAATTGAATTCAATCAAACACCTTACTGGAAATGAAATACTCTGTAACAAACGGCATCACCATTGTGCCCACTCCTGAGCCAGCAACAGCGATTCCAGTAGCGACAGCTCTGTGAAAATCATTTCAAAAGTGAATTTCACGAAAAAAAAACTTGATTCCTTACCGTTTACTCTCGAAATAATAGCCAACTACAACTATGGCAGGAAGATAGATCATTCCAAATCCTATACCACCCATTACTCCATAAATTAGCATAAAGAAGTAGATATTTGGGGAGGCGACAGAGATTAGAAACGCAGTTCCGGATATGAAAGCACCACCCATGACAACTTTTCGAGCACCGTATTTATTCACCAAACCACCAACAACAGGTCCTGCAAAGAGGTGTGACGATCAGATAGTACGGTAAGCGTGAGAGATGGAATGAAAAGC